ACTCTATATGGAAACTCAGGAATTGGAAAATTTTCAACAGCTGGTGTGGTTTGACTACACTATAAACTAGAACACACTGCAGAATGAGCTGTAAACTACAATGCCCAACATGCACCACTTGCTGTTAAGTGGCTATTAAAAAACACTTGAAGTCGGGTTGGTAAGGAAAAGACATGAATTTTCCATTTTGTTTAATTGTAATTGATTTAAATCTCAGTAGGCACATGTGGCTAGTTGATATACATTGGACAGCACAATTCTACAGTCACTGATCTGTAGAAAAGGGCTTCTGAACAACAATATTTCAAAAAAATATTTTCAGAGAACACAAGAGCAGTGGTGAGACAGAAGACAACTATAATAAAGACAATTTCATGAGATTAAAAATAATCAAAGCAGAAATAATGTCTCAGGTAAAAGAAGAAATCACAAATATAATGAAAGAATTGCTGAGAATATCTAAAGAAGACATAGGCTTTTTAAAAAAGCAGGAGCAGAGGAAAATGATGGAAACCTTGGGTGAACAATATAGGAAGGATTTACCATGCATGAAAAAGATTCAAAAAGAAATACAGGAAATTAATAAGTCAATCAAAAGCTCACAAAACCACTTGAATGAGGCTAAAGATGGACTTTCAGACCTTGAAGAGAGATCACAGGTAGCAATCATGAAAGGAAAGCTCTCTTAAAAATAACAAGGAAACAGGAAATAACAATTCAATGGCTGCAAGACAATGCAAAGAAAAATAATTTAAGAGTGATAGGTATCAGAGAAGAAGCAGGAGTCAACACAAATTAAATAAAAAGGCTATTTACAGACATAATACCAGATGTAATACCAGACATAATACCAGGAAACTTCCCAAACATGAGGAAAGGATCTGGCATGCACATAAGTGAGGCATTTAGAATTCCAGCTAGCCATAACCAAAGTAAATCTACACCTAAACATATAATAATAAAGATCCCAGAAATTCAGCACAAGAACAGAATGTTAAAAGCTGTAAGAGAAAAGAAACAGATCATCTATAAAAGAAAACCAAGTATCATGGCAGACTTGTCAACACAAACTATCAGGTCAGGAAGAGTTTGAAGTATTTCAAACCTTGAAAGAAAACAACTTCCAACCCAGATTGATCTACCCGGTAAAACTATCTTTCAGAATTGAAGAAAAATAAGATACCTTCATGATAAAGAACAACTGAAGGAATTCATAACCAGCAAACCAATCCTACAGAGAATGCTGAAGGAAATTCTAGAGAGAGATAAAGATGACCATGGTTCCAGGAACAACATCAGAAATAGGATGGACAAGTGAACGAAGGGAAAAAGCAGAGGGCCATCCGCAGGAGGACAGCATGGCAGAGATGAACCAATGTACGCCAGCTGTAACCATTAACATAGATGCCCTCAATTCACCAATAAAAAGAAACACAGGAAGATTGGATCAAGAAACAAGATCCATCAATATACTGTAATAAGAAATACATTTAACTTGAAAGGAAATTCATAGGCTGAAAATCAAAGAAGAGAAAACAATTATTCCATGTGACAGGAGACCAGAAAAAGCAAAGGTAACTTTCCCACCAACCACAGAATGGATAAGAAAAATATGGTATTTTCATGCAATGGAAAGCTACCCAGCTATAAAATAGGATAATCTCAAAGCTCTTGTAGGAAAATGTATGTAACTGTAGATTATCCTCATGGGTGAAGTGGTTTGGGCTTATACAGGTGAACATTGAATTATCTCCCTAGCATAAAAAACTGAAGGAGTTATTGGGATCCAAAAATCATAGTACGTAGTATGAAAGTGAGAGGGTAGAAAACACCTAAAAAGGGAAAATGGTAACTATTGTTAATTTCCCATTATCCTGTTTTATATTCTTGCATTGTTTTCATAATTTTGTTAGGTTTCATTTTATTCTGTCCTGTTTAGTTAGATTTTACTGTGTCTGATGGTATGGGCACCTATTTGAAGATAATGGGATGTACTATGGTAATCATTGTTGATTTTCTATTATCTTGTTTTCATTTTTTGATTGGTTTTATTCTATTTTGTTTAGTTTGATTTGACTATATGTGATAGTATGGACAGCTATTCTGAAGAAAATGAGATATTGTGGTAGCCATTGTTGGTTTCCTATCATCTTGATTTGAAGTCTTATAATGCTTTCATTCTTTTGTCTTTGTTGGTTTTATTATTTTGTTCTACTTGATTTTATGTGTGGTAGTATGGACAGCTGTTTTGAAGAAAATAAGACACATTATAGTAGGTACTGTTCATTTTCTATCATCTTGTTTTGAAGTCCCATAATACTTTCATTCTTTCATTTTGATTGATTTTAATCTATTTGTATTGGTTGATTTTATTATGTGTGAAGGTATGGACAGATATTTTGAAGAAAACAAGAGATATTATGGTCCCATTGTTGATTTCCTATTATTCTGTTTTGAAGTCCTCTGATGCTGTCATTCTTTTCTTCTGATTGGTTTTATTCTATTTTGTTTTGATTTTATATGTGTGAAGATATGGGCAGTTATTTTGATGAAAACAAGAGACATTATGGTAGCCATTGTTGATTTTCTGCCATCTTGTCTTGAAGTCCTACAATGATTTCATTCTTTTGTTTTGATTGTTTTTGTTCTGTCTGTTTTGTTTTTTTATTGTGTGTGATGGTATAGACAGCTATTTTGAAGAAAATGAGAGACATTATGGTAACCATTGTTGATTTTCTGTTGTCTTGTTTTGAAGTCTTGTATCCCTTGCATTGTTTGTTCTTATTTGCTTTATTTTGTTTTGTTTTTTGTTTTATTCTCTTTAAAATAAAAAATTAATTGTGAACTCATAGATATAGTATTTTCAATACTTTCTGGTCAATGAACTCCTTCTACAAATTTCAAATGAAATTCACTGTACAGTTAACAGTGTTTATGGTGTTTGTTCAGTTTTTCCAATAGGAAATGAATAAATACAATGCTCCAATGTATAATGATGATGAAAGTTTATCTATTTCAACACAAACTTTGTTAATCAAAGGAGGATATTTTTCTTGAAACAATTTAGTTTAAAACTTTTAACAAAACACAAAATCCAGAAAAATCAATGTTCCCAATACTATGACAATGAAGAACTAGAGGAGGTTCTTGCAATATGACCATCTACTCAAATAGATATCAAGAGGCTCTTGCAATGTGATCATCTAGTCAAGAACATACATATATAATAAAGACAAAAACTGCAAATATTATTTATTACAAGCAAGCAGCAACTATAGCAAACAGAAGAGTAACTATCTGCTGGTTTCTAAAACAGACTGCTTATTGAACTGCCCAGGAGCACCACTGAAACAAGGCTGAAATAAAATGAGCACACACAGATCAATATCCACAATATGACAGCCATGCAGAAAGATGTCTACTCTGGCTACAAGACAGTGGTTAGTGGCTTCATGCCACTGACATAGAGATGATAATTGGACTAAGGACAGTCCACCAAATCAATTATTAAAATTTATTCTTTAAAAATACCAGAATTATCCCCAAAGGGAAGCAGAGGTTCAAAAATGTTCAAAACTACTAGAACAAACAGAAAAAGGAAACAAAAGAAGGGTTTTGGCTTTTATCACTTAACAAGGCAGAAATACTCACCTATATCATTTGGTCCAAAATGGCAGGAGAGAGGTGTAAGATGATAGCTGTGGAAGGTTGGTTATGTGAGGTGCACGGAGTTACAAAGGCAAATGTGAGCAGCATGCATGGTTATTTAAGGAAGCAGAAGGCTGTCATAGGGATATGATGCAGGTGTGTAATGAATATGGGGAGATCCAGGAGACTGGGGAAGCATCACAAGGGGTTGAAGACAGAACAGTTGAAGGGTATTCTGGTGGAGCACACAGGAGTGAGTAAAGGTTTGATGGAAAGTGTAAGGGACATAGGGAACAGGGAAGGCCAGTTGAAGATATGAGACGACGGTGGTATTCGGGCTGCATGTGGCAAGGGTATGCATACTAGGGGGTGCATATGGTAAGCATGCAGTAGACATGAAAATATACAGGTATATGTATGTATATTTGTACACATCTGTGCATTTTTCTATTAATGTCATAGTACAAATGAGCACTTAATTTTAAATTTCCTTTTGATTTTTAATGCCTTACCTTCAAATTATACTATATATAAAATGTAAAATTGCCATTTGCAAGTAGTAAGAATTTAAATTAAGCCTGTTGATTGCTACATTTATGGAAATATCTTATTTTAAATAAATCAAACTGAGTTTCCTCACAAACTAATGAAGTCAATATTAGAATAATTCAAGTTTCACAAGCAGAAGTCTTATTGTACATTTGTTCCATAGTCATCTTGAAACAATAAGATAGATTTACTAAAAGTGAAATCACTAGCATGCCACCACATTTCTTCTTGGAAACTACAAAAGACAAGTGATTGTATCTCAAGAGGATGATATCTCTTCCTTATCACTAGAATCCCATCAAATCAGGGATGGGTGGGAGTTAAAAACTGGAAACACACACATGAATGCACACAATTTCTTTCCAGGTCCCTACACATAGTTTCCTCCTTGCTTTCAGAATTGTTCAGTCTCACCTGCACTTCTTCATTTTAGCCAGTGGTACTATGTCTGAATGAGCACCATCAACATTTCAATAAGCATCATATTCTATTAAAACGCACACAATTTGGCTGATCCTCCCAGGACTGCCTTCTCACTGCATGGTTATTTTAAATTTCCAGCCCATTTTGAAGAATTAGGTCAGCTTTTAACTAAAGTCAAACTTCTAACTTTTGGCCTACTCCTAAGAGAATAATTAAAAATGAATAGGCAGTCTGCATAAATTTTATTTTCTCTGCCTCTTGGTTCATTTGGCAGCGTTGATATCTGCATTCTTTTGTTCATTAACTCATATAAATACAACCTATACAAGAGTAAGGCATTTCTGACTTGATTTAAAAGGCTTTTATTTTCACATTCTTACCTCTGAATTGTTAAGGTGGCATTTGTGAGTTCCTGAAAACCAGCCATCACTTGAACATTGGTCAATGTCCACTTTCTGAAGATTTATATCGACTTTCATGACACCCCTAAAAGTGAAAAGATAAAAAGAACAAATTGAGACTTCACAATTTCTGACTCTATTCTATTGTGGAAATCAGCCAAACAAGCAGGAAAAACATACTGAAATTGTCCACTCACATTTAACTACATTGTACCAAGTGAAGATACACAATAGAACAAAGTTAGTAAGAAATAGTTTTAATGTAAGTCCCCAAAACTGATTTGCATTGTTTACTGTCTTCAACTCCTCATAATGCCTGACACATAAGTGCTCAGTAAATATTTATTGACTGAAGCCCCACCAAGATTCATTGGGCATCATAGAAAATTTAACTCTAAAATAATACTTGCCCTCAAAATTCCTTTTATTAAAGATGATCACACCTGAGCCGTCATCTCTTTTCTTTCAACTTCTATTTCTTGTTGTGGAACGATGAACAAGGAAGTTGGAGGAGGACAATAACAGAAAACAAGCTTCTTTTCCCTTTGATTTTCCTATCAATGAACTCTACACACCCCTTGGATCTTTCAGTATCCCATAGCAAACCAGAGATTTACATCATCTATTGAAATGCTGATTAAGATTCTTTTCATTTAAATATCAAAAGGGCGGAGGTCTGCATGTCACTTATCTATTTGAGGAATCACTAAGAAAGACAACTCCCAAATTTAAAGCCAAAGTCTAAATTGCCAAGAAAGATTCAAATTCAACCAAAATTTCTCCACTTGGTTCAATTTCTTAGATGTCCCTAAAATCACTTGTTTTTCAGCACCGCCAGCACTTCTAGCACCACAAGCAGCAGCAGCAGCAGCAGCAGCGGCAGCAGCACTCTGCCCAAGACTGATTTATCTCACTTTCACTTTATTGAAATAACTATTGTATGTCTGGGACCCTGAAGCCTGTGCTTTATAATGCAGATTTTCACAAACAAGAAAAGTATAAACACCCATTTATGAAGTAAGACATATTTTCATTTTAAGTTAGACACTCTCAAGTTAAATTATTTTCATTATTAAATAAAACTAAATAAAACATGCAAGAAGCCCAAATTCCTCATTTTAGCTTATATAGTTCACCACAAAGTTCAACAAATTATAAAATAAATACAAACAAAATTATAAAACCAGCAAAAGTAAACTACTATTTTAAGGACATCAGTGTTGTGGTTAATACACTGGGTCAGTTTAGAAGTTTAGAAGTGTAACTAGGAGACTCAGCAGGGAGCCAGGGTTCTTACTTTGCAAGCATCCCCACCCTGTGCAAAAGGAGGGCAAGGAGATTCTGTGAGTGGTACACTCACTCTGGAGGGTGGGTGGCCTGTGTACCATGTAAGGGAGAAAAGAGGTTCACTCTCCCCCACTCTTGGTTTGGCTGCTTTTGCTGGCTGCTGCCTTGAACTGCTGACCTGGTACCATGCCACCCTGCCACCATGCCATCCTGCCTTGGAACCAGCTGATTATGAACTGAAATCTCCCCAAACTATAAGCTAAGTAAACCTTTCCTTCCTTCATTTTGGGTGCTGGGTGTTTCATCCCAGCAATGAGAGAAAAGTAACCAAGACAATCAGTGACCATGCTTTAACAATATTGAATCACCTTTCAAAACAGAAATACAGTAGTTCTATTTTATCACAGCTTATGATTCTTTTCAACTCTTTCCTTCTTTAAATTATTGTGAAATCTTTCACAGGGATATATCCTGCAAAGGTCATGTCAAACATCTAAGCCTATTTCTAATTTTACTTTATGGCCCTTAGAAAATAGTATATTCATTATTCAATAAGTATTCATTGAGTGCCAGTAATGATCCAGAATTGCTTGTTAGTAAGAAGAGAGAAGAAAAATTCTGCATTTGTAGAGCTTAATTCTACCATGAGTTAGAAAATAAACACTGTAATAAATAAATAAATAAATAAATGTAATTATGCTATAAATATTATACTATATGCTGCAAAGGAAGAAATAATTGGAAAAGAGGTGATATAAGCCTGTGAAAGGGCAGGAAAAGGATGGGCCAAATTTGTTTTGAATAGTTGGCTAGAAAAATCCTTACTGAGATAAGATTTCTAACTTGCCTGTGCTGTTGAGTAGATAATTACAGCACTGTACATTCACACTCTCAATCACAGTGTCAAAATTTCCCACTGGACTACTATTGTCCATGGTGATTTGATAGTCTTCCTTTGACTGTCTTATTAAGAAAGTGCTTCTAGGTAGTAAAGTAATTAACATAGGCAATTCTATTTGTATCACAACTGTTTGTAATAATGAGGTTAAGTTTCTTTACCACCCTCCGTACTTGCAGAGCTTAGTCTCAAGATAATGAAAATCTCAACACTTTCCAGCTTACTCAGGAACACGGCTACTTTAGGATTATAGGAGGCTGCAATTATTCTAGTCCCTTCTGGAGAAGACTGACTTGAGAAATGGGTATCTTAACCTCTTAATTCTAAACCCATTTATGGAAACCAAGTCACTACACACTTAGCTTATGAAGCACTCCACAGTTGTGCAAAATCACCAGAGGTAATGAGCCATGCTTTTGCCAGCTGGGAAATCATCCCTGACTCATCTTCATTAGTACCTTGTCTTGGTGCTCAGAGACCTATAAAACCCTGGAGAAGGCACTGCAGACTTGGGGGGCAGGGTGGAGGTGTAGGGGATTAAATGAGCAGAAAATGTTCCTTTCACAGTAAAAGATAATGTGCTGAAGGAAACAGAGAGACTCAAACACCTTTGGTCTCCCATGTGCAGATATAGATGAAGGCCAGCCAGAGGCTCTGGCCCCCTGCACCCTGCATCCCCTGAGCAGGCACCTCTGGGGCGGAAGTGCTGTTCCTATATCCATTGAGCTCCTGGGAAGTCCTGAGAGAGATGCAGTGATTTCTGTTTTTAGCCTTTAAGATAGAATAGCAAGGCTTTAAAAAAGCGTGGTAAGTAGTTTCCAGAGCCTGGAACATACAAGAAATGCTACACCCCAAATATCAGAGAGCTCAGTTGTTTGCAGACTACCACATACTACCTTCACTTGTCATCAGAGGTCTGAACCACAGCAAGCCCAAACTAGATATGTCCTTGGTGACTCCTCTGATATTATTTATGAATTGGCCTCCAGGTCAGGACAACTGCCAAATACCTGAACTAGGACTCCCTGCATGTTTCTTGTATCTTGATCTTTCCTCTCCATTTCTGTGACCATTGCCATGATTGAGACCTTCATATCTCATGGGGCACATTTCTTTTAATAATGGCTGTTTGTGTATGATATTGCTCCAGGTAAGGATACTGGTTTACAGCTTCTGAAGTTTATAAGGCCCATTGGGATCCTTCTTTCAGAAGCAAATATAGAATTAGTTATATATGTAAAACTACAGTATAACCAAAGTCCAGTATTGCCAAAAGCCAATTCTGTACTAGCATGGCAATAACTAAGCTGTACTTAAAGGTGACTATAAACTACATGTTTGACTAATCCAGTCTAAATAAGCCTGAACTTTCCCTTAGTTGCTTTCCAAAAATGCCCCCAGATTAGTGAAAGTATAATGGAGGCATATTCTGCTTTGCTTGATAGTACCAAGTTCGAAAGTATAAGCAACAACTGTGAAGACAATAAGATTCATTATGACGCCCATTCTGGTTGACTATTATCGTCTTTTAAAGTCCTATAATGTCTCCAATGCTTTGGTTTTATTCTTTACTGTTTTGTCACTGGCAATTCTTCTTAAAAATAGCAAGAGGCAATATGGTAACCACTGTTGATTACCTTGTATTTTGTTTTTACATGATCTATTATGTCCATCCTTTTGATTTGACTGACTCTGTTCTGATATGTCGCATTTGGTTTTACTCTCTTCAAAAAAAGTAATAAGCACTGGGGGAGTAATAAAACCCAAAATGTGTGATTGTCATTGTTCAAAAGAAAAGAAAAGAAAGTGCTCTAAAGGTTATAACTGCATATATGTTTAAGTGTATAAGATAGATAACCATATTACTGAGTTTTTTTGGATCATTGAACAAAACTGTTTCCAGTCTCACTGTTTGAAAGTCCACTTTATATGCTTTAATTTTGTAACTTGAACAACTATTTCTAAGATGAGAATATGTACTAGTGATTTCTTACTGTTTATTTTTTAAATTTTGTATTCCTTGTATCCTTTTCCTGTTTTTTTTCTTTTTCTCCTTAAATTAAAAAAAAAAAAAATTTACAAGAACAGTAGACTGCAAAACTCATTCCTCTGCCCAATCCAGTAGTTACAAAGGTGCCCACGCAAGCTTAAAGGAACACTAAAGCTTATTATCATACACCGAAGTTGAAATATCATACACTATTTGTGTAATCTTTGAAATGAGGAAATCTGATCCTGATAATTTCCTCCTCAAGATCGATATCCTCAGTTTCCTAAAGAATAAAATCCAGGCTTCTATGTTGTAACACTATTGTTAGGCCCCTATTATTTCTGACCTTTGGAATATTTTTGCAAAAAGATCATGTTTTCTAACAAAATCGTCTTTGTTTATAGACTCCTTTGTAACTGAAGCCCTGTATTCTACATTGCACTTTACCTGTGACTCCCATCTAGCCCCTTCTAAAGCCTTACGTGAACTGCAAACTACTTCCATGTTCTCACTAGAACTCACTCTCCTTCAAGTCACTTAGCACACTGTACTAATTAATTGTTAGTGATCTCTTTCCGTACTAGACTAAGTTTTCATGGTCTATGTCTATTTATTTGGTAGTATTTTCCCTTCAGTTTCTAAGTCTTCCCACCCCCAAAATTAACTTTGGAGAAACTTCGTACTTAAAGGCAAGCAAGGAGTAGCTATCAATGACCTTATTATGATGTTGATACATTTTGTCAATTTGAGACATATAGAGGCTCGACTAAGCAACTCAGCAGTTCTTCATCCTAGTGGCTAGAGGACAAGCCCTCACTGCGCTGGGATGTTGTTCACTGTGACAACTTGAGAAGTTTAGAAGTTTAACTGTGTGAATTAGCAGGGGCCAGGGTCCTCATTTTGCAAACAT